TCTAAAGTTCTAAAATTTTCACCATCTTATTTGTTATTTGTTAGATTTACACGTTTGATGTTCCTGTTTAGTGTGCGCGTAGCAACGTCGTATTGATGAGTAAATAAGAAAGTAAGTGTATGGGTTTAACGCTCTAATCAGCATGTTGATTGTCTATTTGAGGAGGCAGTGATTTAGACAATATTTTTCATAATTCTCTTTCCAACACATTTTTCTGTTTTGCCTTATGTCCCCAAAACACTATTCATATGAATGATCTTTTTCTTTTCGTTGGTATTTTATTTTAAATGCTTTTATTTATTGTTTCTTTTACTATCTGCCCATCGATGTTCACGCTTCCACTATATACCTCTGTATTTTTCAAGTTCTATGGCATGCTTAAATTCCATTCCCATGTAACTGAAATTGAAGGAGCAAAGAGCCTTTTTCAAACTATGCGTGAAGACATAAAAGATCATTTTTGAAATGCGAAACAATGTAATATGAGCACGCGAATATTATCATGATGTCCACACTATGGAAAACAGACTTTATATTCGTGTACAACACGTGAGGGTGACATTGGCGCACTCTTAGACTCCTCACACCGCTCTTACTACAAATCTAGGAGTCTTTTCACCCTTCCATGCGGTAACCCCTTGAAGATTTTAAGGCACAAGCTCTCGGAATCCCCCGTAACAGCCTTGTCTTTTGGGACAAGATGCTGTAAAATGAGCCTTTCTTGCCGGCTGGCTGATCGAGTTAAGAAGTGTAATGCCTAGTCATTAGTCGCTCTCGGCCCTGGTCAGATTACTTGGTCGTGAAGCACATCGGTGTGACGTCTGTTTAGGCTATAACGTCCCCCCGTTTAATGTCTGTGGAGTACTCATAAATGTACGTACCAGCTTCTACTTCCATGATTTTCCCCATCTGTCTATCTGTCTGTCTTTCCGTCCGTCCGTGTGTGCGTCCGCCTGTCTTTCTGTTAGCCAGTCAGTCAGCCATCCACCACTTCCCTTTTGTATCTTTTTCTGACTACTTCTTTTCTCTTTACCCCTCTCTCTATTGCTCCCCTTCTCTCTCTTCCCTCGCTCCCCCCCTCTCTCCCTCTCTCTCTCTCTCTCTCTTTCTTTCTCTCTCTCTCTCTCTCTCTCT